TAATCACAACCTGTAAGGCTAAGCTTTCCCAGTCTGATATTACAGTCTCATAGCTTTGCTGCTCATAGTCATCATTCACAGGGCATTTGAAGCACTGTCAACAACAATCTCTGAAGAGTGGAAAGTCAGCTGGAGTCCCAGGTCTCTCTGATGAGCTGCTAACTGCACTTCAGAGCCAACAGGGCTGCAGGATCTCTTCAACTATTTTACGGGCATAACATTCAGGCCATGCAGAGAGGCCAAAGTGGCAAACCACATAAAGACCTAAACATTTCAGTGTTGCCACCCAGTGTTTTTACAGGGGTCGGTTTATGAGCCATTGGTCAGCACTTATTATAACCGCTTTATGACCTCTTTGGTACTTGGTCGTATAAATACACCAGGATGGAATTAATAACATCGCATCACACAAGACTGTTATTTTAGGCTCTAGGGTGGGTTGTGGGCAGGCATAACTGTTGCACTGCTGGAGTCCGGTTATGTACTTGAGGTCAGATAAACCATTCATGGGGGTGAAAATGTGCTCCTAAATAACTTGAGTGGTGGTGGTGGTGGGAAGAGCTTGAAGCCGAAGGAGGAACATCTCTCTCCCTTATTTCAGCATGCAACCTGGCTTGGGATGGGCAGCCCAACTATTTCACTGGACCAGGGAGAAGCGTTTGCTGTGTAACCATTAGTATTAGGCAGGGCCAGCCCAAGACATTTTGGCACCTGAGGCAAACCACAAAATGGTGTCCCCTTCTACCCAGGGAAGAAGGGGTGAGTGAAGATCTACACTGAACAAGTGGGGAAATAAAGATCTCTATTGGGAACAAGGGTGGCAGGAGACCAGCAGTGCCTCCTATACTATAGAGGTGGCCTTGGGGGAGGCTGCTAAGGAGGCAGAAGTTCTGGCCTCCAAGGAACATGCCTCAACTGTTGCTGCCAATCATTCCTTGAAGGCCGGATCTGCTGCCCCTGTGCATCTTGCCGCCTGAGATGGTTGCCTCACCTTACAGCATGAGTGGGCCAGCCTGCTATTATTGTAGTCATTATTGGAAAAATTGGTCTTTATAGGAACGTGGGTGGCGCTGTGGGTTAAACCACAGAGCCTAGGACTTGCCAATCAGAAGGTCAGCGGTTCAAATCCCCGTGACGGGGTGAGCTCCCGGTGCTCGGTCCCTGCTCCTGCCAACCTAGCAGTTCGAAAGCACGTCAAAGTGCAAGTAGATAAATAGGTACCCCTCTAGCAGGAAGGTAAGCGGCGTTTCCGTGAAGCAGCTTAGTCATGCTGGCCACATGACCCGGAAGCTGTATGCCAGCTCCCTCGGCCAATAAAGCGAGATGAGCGCCGCAACCCCAGAGTTGGCCACGACTGGACCTAATGGTCAGGGGTCCCTTTACCTTTACCTTTATAGTGGTCTTTATGAACCACTATGCCTAGTGGGCTTTATAACCTATTGCTAGTCTGCATGGTGCTACCCTAAACATGCATGTTATAGAACTTGAAATTGCACCCCTCAGCTTTTTCATGGGGAGGTGAAAACACAGCAGGGGTGAAAGGACTAAATTCACCTCTGGATCCCTCTCTGGAACACCTGGTTGGCATTCTGCTCATTTCCTAAAAGGGATCCTGGCAGCTAGATCAGGGCAGGAACCTTGTGCATGGTGCTTGGGCCAGAATTTGAGTTACTTTGGCTCCAAAAGTTCCTCAGGCATGCAGCATACTCCGCCCTGAGCACAGGGAGCCATTGGAGCAGCCCCACCCCCTTCAGGTGGCTCAGAATACGATCCAGATCTGGTAGTATTTGCTTTATGTGCCGAAGTTTATTTCTTGTAGCTGCAAGGAGTGCAAAGGGGGCAAAAAAGGTGGAAGATAGAAGCAAACAGGAACTAGGCAGGTTCCCTTCGTGGCTATTTTTAAATGCTTCAAACAGCTCCAGCTGGCCCAAATTTAGAAAGGAAAACAGAGGGCTTCCTCCCTTTCCTTTCAGCTATTTCCCAGCATGTGTTTTTATGGTCCAATGGGAAGAGGGGAGAGAGAGAGGACAGAGGAATGCACTTCATTGGCAAATGAACACCCAGCCGCATCCTTGCCATCCATCCATCAAAGTTAGTAGAGCAGGCTATGAAAGAGCCTTGTCATAAACTCCTGGATATCACATTCTAGTGCCTGTTAGGGTCCATCTTCGGCCTCAAACCAATAGCTGCCCCTTCTTCTTCCAGGTGTGCTGTACTTTGCTTTGCTAAATAATGTCGTCTGGAAGCACACTTTCAGGTTGGACAACACACTTTTTGCAGAAGTTCCCTGGCTCCATCCCTAACATGGCCAATAAGGCTCAAGTGCCCCACAGTTGCCAGGCCCAGGGAGACCAGACTGATGCCTCTCCAGGTGTTGCCGTTGTCTGTGGGCCTCCTGTGATGTCACAAAAGGACATGGTGGTTGAGGGGAAAGAGGGTCTCCCCCTGTGACTGGGCCACCCCTAGACCTCAGGAGCTTCCCAGAATCTCAGGTTCTGGGAGGCTCCTGATCTGGCAACCTTATTTGTCACTCATATGCTGAAATGATCATATTCTGAGCCACCTGAAAGTGATGTGTCTGTTCCAAGAGCTCCTGTGCTCAGGGTTTGAAGCTGAAGTAATTCAAATTCTGGCCCAAGCACCATGCGCATGAATCACATAATTATAGAGTTGGAAGGGACTCTAAGGGTGATCTAGTGCAACCCTGTCCAATGCAGCATGGTTCCTCCCCTGATCTAGCTCTCAGCATCCCTTTTAGGAAATGACCATAATGCTAACCAGGTAAATTGGCTCTCCCCAATATACTATAGTTTGTTTGATTTCTATCCCAGCTTTCCTCTTGAAGGAGCCCAGGGTGGCAGCTTTTTCCTTCCAGCCCCTATGCTGTGGACCCGGTCCAGAATGGGATATTCTCTAGGTGTTGTATGTGGAAGCATGAAAAAGACAGAGATGCATGAAAGAGACAACATCTCTGCTGCAATGTGTCTTTTGGCCCCAGCAAATTCCAAGCAATCTTCACACATCCTCCTCCCCATCATCTCCTGCCATTGCAGCCACTTCACAACTTTGGTGTGTGTGTTTAAAAAATAACAAATCACACACACACACACAGAGAGAGAGAGAGAGAGAGAGAGAGAGAGAGAGAAGTTGTTGGGTGAGTTCAGCTCCCCCCCCCAAGCTTCAGACTCCCCACTTGAATTCTATAGGTACCCTCCTCTCTGAAGGTCCAGGGAGCAGGAGACAGACTTCTGCTTTCCACATTAGCCATGTCTGCTTGTTGCTGAGTTCTTTCTCCTCCTCATATTTGGAGACGCAGGCAATGGAAACTTCAGCTGCTGCCGCATTCCACTAAGAAATTCTTCAAATTCCCCAGCCTCCCTGGGGTCCTGCCTTAGTTATTTCACATTGTATTATTCCCATCTGGAAACTGATCTGAAAACAGAGGACTAGATTTGAAACAGAACTGAAAATCAGTGACAGGACAAGGAGCTTTTGGGCAGAGGCAGGTTAACCAGGAGACCTAAATGTCTATGTGAGCTCTTCTGTTCTAAGGGGAAGAAATTGTGCCAATCAGACACATCTGCTTCAGTTGTTTTGAGTGATATGTTTTGTCCCACCTGCTTCCTGTAGGATCAAGGACAGAACTGTTTGTGTGACCTCTCCTTGCACAGTGGTGGAGACCCGATGGCTTTTCTTGACTGGACAATGTCAATGCCAAGGGCAGCATCTTATAAATAGACATTCGTTGGGCTATGCTGAATATTTCTTCACCCTAGGGCTTAATTTGTGTAGGGACACTGGGAATAGACAAAAGTACCCCAGTCAGGTGCAGTGTGGCCACATTCACCCTATACTATTAAAGCACAAGTTAAGCTACATTGCTTCCCCCAAAGTATCCTGGGAGATGCAGTTTACCCCCACAGAGCTACAATTCCCAGCACCCTTAATAAACTACAGTTTCCAGGATTCTTTGTGTTTCAAGTGTTTGATGTGGATGTGAGTTTCGGTCCCCCACTGAATGACAACAGAGAGTTTTCACAATCAAGGATTACAGGAAACGGCTTCCAGATCAGAGAATGCAGTGTCCAGGCAAACTTGAGTCCCATCATCTTTTCCTACTCTTGAAAGACTGCTTTATGGTTCAGAAGCTGCCACCTACTAGAAGCCGGGCCCATCCAGCCTTACACAGCAAACGCAACAACAACATGTCTTTGCGTTTAAGCCAAACACCTTTTACAAATTACTTCGCATGCTTTGCATTCTCAGCCTCTTTACAGGCACTTCAGTTACTCAGATTGATCGTGGCTGGAGCCGGAGTAATTATATTTCCCACTGATTTTGAATTCAATCTGAGCCGCCGTCCTCCCCTTCCCGTCCGCCTCCCGATACAGGATGTTCTCTTGGCCTTGCATAGTTTCCAGGCGACATCGTTGCTTTCATAACCAGACTAGACCAAAAGTTTATTTTTCTCGGCTGAATCGTGCAAACACATAACACAAGACACACTCTCGCACACAGGTTGCAGCTGCATCTTTACTGAGTTGGCTCAGGATGCTGAGGAAGGAAGACCCTTCTTGGACTGGTTTATATAAATTGTATATAAGTGAGAGGCCACCAGATATGTTCAGGATGGAGGGCAAAGGAAGAACATCTCCAAAGGAACCACCACAGCAGGGATGGAGAACCAGTGGCCTCCCAGATGTTTAGTAACATCTACAACTACTACCTGGGACACGGGTGGTGCTGTAGGTTAAACCACAGAGCCTAGGACTTGCCGATCAGAAGGTCGGCGGTTCGAATCCCCTCAACGGGGTGAGCTCCTGTTGCTCGGTCCCTGTTCCTGCCAACCTAGCAGTTCGAAAGCATGTCAAAGTGCAAGTAGATAAATAGGTACTGCTCCAGCGGAAAGGTAAATGGCGTTTCCATGCGCTGCTCTGGCTCACCAAAAGCGGCTTAGTCATGCTGGCCACATGACCCGGAAGCTGTATGTCGGCTCCCTCGGCCAATAAAGTGAGATGAGCGTTGCAACCCCAGAGTCGGTCACGACTGGACCTAACAGTCAGGGGTCCCTTTACCTTTACCTTTACAACTACTACCATCCCTAGCCTCTGGCCATGCTAGCTCTGGACTGATGGGAGTTAAGGAGTCTGGCAACCTTTCACAGCCACAGGTTCCTCACCTCTGTTGTATACAAAGGTCATAAAGAACTTTTTTTTGTTCTGAGCTAAAGTGGGAAGATTGATACACTATTGGGCAAGGCTCCTGGGCCAACCAGAGGCCCTCTCCTCCTTTGGTGGACTCTAGTAGGCTTCAAACAGTCCTCCAAGCAATGATCTAAACAGCACTGGGCAGCTGAACCCAGCTGCCATTTTAATTTCCCACAATGCCTATGACGTAGTGTCACTCTGGAACACTTGGGGGAATTTAAATGGGAACTGGACCTGCTGTTTGGGGTGCCAGTATGGCAACATTTCTTTTGTAAGGGGGCTTGGCAGGCAGTGGTTCCCTGTGGCATGTGCCAATGTTTTTCTTGTATCTATTGTTGCCAATTCTTATGAAATACTGCATTTTAACACTTCTTTTCTCAAACCAGCTTTGATCCAAATTGAGAAAAAGAATGATATAACTGCGTTTTGAGCCACTAATGTGCACAATGGCGTGATATGTGGCACCACCACTGCAAAAACAACTGTTAGGAAAGATTTTTGCTACCCTTTTGTATAGGTTTTGTGCACATTTATGCACATTTGTGATTTTCTTCAACAAATCCTGGTGGAGATACTGGTAATTCTTCATCCCCTCCCCCTCAAACTGTGCTCAAAGACCTTCTGGTTCAGATCTTGGCTCTTAACTGTTAGCTATAACATTAGGCACGATTCTTTCTTTAAAAATGCCAAGTTAAAAGCTTCTGAAAGAGCAAGAGAAGGAGAGAGGTTACAAAGTGCCACACGGACAGGGACAGGGACACGGACATTCATGATCTGCTAGCCAATAGGTGTTCATGATAATTGTGCAACCACTACCACATGGCAATCTCAATATGAATGTGTTGTGTTGTGTGTCTTTTTGAGATGCAAAACCATGCATTCATTATTGGGAATCTGATATTCCTGAGGCAAAAGCTCAAAGATGGGAGGAATCCGTTTAAAATGTCAGCCAAAAATGGGTAAGAAAGAGAGACATGTGTTGGCCACATTCCTCCCCAGTGTGCCTGTAGCCACACACACATGTACTGAGGGATTTGTTAAGGGGCTAGCAGGGTCCTCCTTGTTCCTCCTTGTGTGCATTGCTGTGGATTGGCTATTGCCCAGAATGAAATGCCAGCCAGCACACTCCCTGATTCCACATCTAGCCCTCCAACCCAGGAGTTGCCTCAAACTCATGTTGCACATTCTCTTCCTCTCTGCAGAGCCACAACCAAATTCAGCTAATTTGTGATTAGGGGAGAAGAATTTCTACATGAAAGGCCATGCTATGTAGGTTGGTTCAAGAACTGCAGCTTTATGCCTGCCATAGGCAGGGAAAGAAACTAAATTGAGTTTAGGTGCAGAATAGCATCCCTTCGAACTAGGAAAACTCATTTCCTCCAGACCATGCGCTACTATGATATTAGTGTTGCTGGAAAAGATGTTTGTGAAAATAAATTAAATTCTTCACCCAGGATATAATGAAACACATTTATTACCTGTTTTGCACCCACCCTTTCTCCTCCCTCCCTTGTATACATTTCAAAGGATGAGCAGAGGAAATGCAACCATGCTTTGCAAGTCAACAAAATCTTCTTTTGCAATGCTTCCACTAGATGGCATACAATGCCAGGAACCAGACTAGTCCATTGCTAGCCGATAGAAAGAAGGGATACCTTTGCACCTGAAATGCCTCTGATGGAATTCATTGTGTTGGCTGCAGCTGTTAAGCATTGTCTGAGTCTCAAGACCATGGACTGAGCTACTCTAATGGCTAAAGAGCTATGGGGATGAATCATAGCTCAGTGGCAGAACAAATGTTTTGCATGCATAAGATCCCAGATTCAATCCCCAAGTTGTCCACTTAAAAGGATCAGTTAGTTGGTGGTGGGATAGAACTCTGCCTGAGACCCAGGAGAGGTACTGGTATTCAAAGTAGACAATCCTGGGCTATATAGACAAATAGTCTCACTTGGTATTAGGGATGGATTTAGCATTTAAAGGCAAATCTATCTCATTCACACCTCAATGAATTTTGCAAAGCGGTTTTCCAGCCAGGCAATGTCTACCAAAAAAACCATACACCAAACTGTGCATGGAATGCTTATATTAGTGAAAACTGCATGCAAGAATGCATTATGCTAGAAAATGTATAAATGTTAAGGGAAATATGCTTTGTAAAGATGTGTATATTAGGATAAATTCATTCATAAGGACTTTAAAAAAGAAAATCAAAAACCGATGAGAAAATGTGAATAACTGAATTTAAGATCGGAAAAATGAGGAACTGAAAGAAACTGAAATTGATGAATTTGCCCATCCCTATTGGAAACAAGGCACTTTCCTACATCTCCAACTATGAACTGCAGTGCTCCTGGTTAAGATACTGCTTCTACAATGTCAATTGGCAAGCCTCAGCCTCCATTTCACTATGAGCATAGTCACCGTTCTACCTTGCAACTCAATTAATGCAGAGAGCTTCCTTTGCAACCTAACAGATGATTAAAGAGGTAGTTTATGAGAATCTAGTAAAGAATGCATTGATTACTACTAACCAACATGGGGTTTATCAAGAATAAAGTTTGGTCAGGCGTGATTTATTCTTTGAAGGTGTCTGGAGGCAGTGATGGATTGGATGAGGGCCAATAAACTGATGCTGAACCCTGAAAGACTGAAGTGTTGTGGGCAGGTGGTTCCCGTGTCTGGGAATTAGGTGTGTGCCCTGTTCTGGGAGGACCAACAATCTTTCTGAGGCATCAGGGTCATGGTGTAGGAGCACTCCTAGATTCCAACTTGACACTGGAGTCTCAAGTAGCTTCTATGGCTAAGAATGCTTCTGCCTAGCTTTAGGCTGGTTTGCCAGCTCTAGTTACTCCTGGACTGGGATATCCTAACCTCAGTTGTCCATTCTCTAGTGACCTCCGGCTTGGACTACGGCAATGCACTCCATGTAGGGCTGCCCTTGAAGATGGTCTGCAGGCTGCCGCTGGTGCAGAAGGCAACTGATTGGTTGGTAAGCAGGGCAGCCCAGTGGGGCCCTGTGACGCTAGTCCTGAAAGCACTGCACTGGCTGCCAGTGAGCTACTGGGTCCAATTCAAGGTGTTAGTACTAGCACAGTGGTGGCCAGACTTGACCCTCCAGCTGTTTGGGGACTACAGTTCCCATCATCCCTGACCACTGGTCCTGTTAGCTAGGGATGATGGGAGTTGTAGTCCAAAAACAGCTGGAGGGCCAAGTTTGGCCACCACTGCACTGGCATATAAAGCCCGAAATTGCATGGGACCCAAGTACCTAAAAGAGGCAATATCAGTCATCACAGGCCCTATGAGCAGCAAGTGAGGCCTCCCTGGTTGGTGCTGCTGACCCATGGCAGGGCCTTTCCAGTGGTGGCTTCCTGGCTATGGAATGCCCTCCCTAGTGAGGTGTGCCTGTCTCCATCCATCATTTTTTAATCTTTCAGGAGTAATTTGAAAACATTCCTGTTTATCTAGGCACTTGGCACCTGAAGAATGCTGTTCCGGGCAACCCTGAGGGTACTACATGAAATAAAGTTTTGAATAATGTTTTGAACTATATCTGCTTCTAGAAGTTTTTACTTGTAACTGTTTTTAGAATGTTTTATTTAGCTGTTAGGTTTCTGCTTGCCACCCTGGGCTCCTTTGGGAGGAGAATTTATTATTTAATTTTAGTTCCCCAGAATAGCCTTAATAGTCTTTTTCAGGGGCAGGAAGGCTCCAGGGTTGTGGATCTACTTTTTAAATAGAACGTTGAAATACACCAGTCAGACCAAGGTGAAAAACTGTGGGGAGGATGACGCTCTTAGAATTAAGAAACAGGGTGCATGTGAGCACGTAACTCAGCCAAGAAATTTGGATGCAGTACCAGAACTTGTTGCACACAAAGGTCAGCCCCTCTCAGCTTTCTTCATCTCAGCATCATAATTTCAAATGCGAGGGGAGGTCTTTTTGCTGTTGCTAAGCTGTTGCTAAACAGAATTCTTGCTGGTCTACTGCAAATGACTCAGAGATCTACCAGTAAATCCCATTTTACTGTTTGCCCACATATGGTCTTTCTAATGGGACATGCACACAGGACTTTCTCAAAACACTGTGCTTCATTTATTAGCCAAGGTTGTCTATAGAGAGCATTTTACACCAACGTGACCTAGCCTGTCTCACTAAAATCACCTACCCCTATTGCTCCAAAGGCACTTTGCCGCAGCACTTTCATTGAGTGCTACCCAATGGATTAACCTAGTGCAATTGATACACAAAGGAAATATTTTTTTTGTAGGGGCAGGCTGTGGAGAAGGCAGATAAGCAAACAGATTAGCTCTGTAAATAGCTCAGATCGGTGCCACCTGAGCTGGGAAGTAAGGATAACTTCCAGTGCAGACATGAATTACAATTATAGACTCACTGCTATGTTCAAAAGCTCTATATAAACAGGGTGCCTGGAAAAAATATCCATCACTGTGTGGGGAGGAGGTGCACAGGAGGTCTGCCTGTACCAACTCACAACATTCACTACACAACTATAAATAATTTAGGAGAGGAGCTGAGCTCTTTCTCAAAGCAAAGTTTGCCAAGGGGAACAAAGGCAGACAGAACTGCCCTCTGATCAGAGCGTGTTTAACAATTCAGCTCCTTCGCACAAGCCCCGTGGGATCACAGCAATCAGACTCTGGGTTTTACAATCATCCAAAAAGACTAAACAGTCACAGAATGAGAATAGCGTGCTTTAACATTTTGCAGGAATAATAATAATAAACCCAACTGTGCTGCTTGTTGCCTTATGATATCAGACAGAGCTTATCAAGTGATGAGGTTTAATTGATGGCAAGGTTCAGGAATTCACTCTTGTCCAGACTTCCAGTGATGGCATGGTATAGGAAAGCAGGACAGACAATTACTGCGCAGGATTTGAGACAGCCTTTAGAAAGCACGTCTCACAATGAATGAGGAGATGGATACGCTGATATTAAAATAATTATCCCTGTGGGCTTGGATTATGAATTCTTTCTTGTCTTTGGCTGACTTATTATTTACTGTTGGCTTTCCTGCTGGCAATATTGAATTTAACCTCCTCGCTTTAATTCTTTGCTTCTTCCTGGCTGTCTGGGAACAGAGAGTTACTGGGAATCCAGTTGTACATCCATCCGTCTTCAGTATGTATCTTGCCTGCCCTCACTGCAGACAGCAAGGAAGATGCAAGATGCACACAGACCTTATGGCAGGAGCTGTGCAATAAGCCCCATGAAAGGCAGGCTGCATTTTGACACATCTGTTGCCCAAATGTTTGCTCTCCAGTTATTCCTAAAGATCTCTTTGAATGCTGAGTCTGAATAAGAGCCCAAAACCAGTTTCCAAATTTTGGGGGGGCCTTTGAGCAAAGTGGAGATCAGGTTGCTCCATAGAGCCAGCAGACACTTAGCATCATAGCCATCAACTTTTCCCTTTTCTTGCGAGGAATCCTATTCGGAAAAAGGGAATTTCCCTTTAAAAAAGGGAAATGTTGATAGCTATGCTTAGCATTATCCAAATAGGTTTCTTTTCATTGGCTAGAAAAAATAAATGGGGTCCTTTGCCTGAATAATCAAATGGTCTTGGGACAACTTGTCAGTCCACACTACCCCAAAATTCAGGGGTGATAATAATACGGATTTACATATGCATTAGAATGTTGTAGTAAAGTTTTGAGGTGAAACAGAATGCAATATACTAAAGTGAGTCTCCAGGAGGGGGTCACATTTTTGAATGCTCCTATGGATAAAATATCCCCATGTAGAAAATTTGCATAGCAAGAAGCACTCTGAGATGAAATCTTTTTCCTTTTAAAAAAGATTTTATTTGTATAGTTTTCACAAATAAAATGGTTAATCAAACATTATCCCATATACAGTCACTTAAACAGTTGACTTCCCTCCCACCTTTCCATGGTTTTCTCATGATTATCTTTTGCTACTGCACATTATAATTTATCTATACCTTATTTTCTTAACTTTATTCTCAAAGTAACTTTTAATGGCTGAACGTACTCCAGGCCTGCTAGTGTACTAACATGTTCACAATAATTTTTTTAATAGTCTACAAATATTTTCCAATCCTCCTTGAAGGCTGTTTTAACCAGAACATTCATCCTAAAGGATCTTCATTGGCTCCCAGTGTGTTTCTGAGCACAATTCAAAGTGTTGGTGCTGACCTTTAAAGCCCTAAATGGCCTTGGCCCAGTATACCTGGAGGAGCGTCTCCCTCGCCCCCATTATTCTGCCCGGACAATGCGGTCCAGCTCCGAGGGCCTGCTGGCAGTTCCCTCCCTGCGAGAAGTGAGGTTGCAGGGAACCAGGCAGAGGGCCTTCTTGGTAGTGGCATCCTCTCTGTGGAACACCCTTACTTCAGATGTCAAGGAAATAAAGCACTAAACAACTTTTAGAAGACATCTGAAGGCAGCCCCGTATTGAGAAGTTTTTAATGTTTGATGCTTTATTATGTTTTATATATTCTGTAAGCCGCCCAGAGTGGCTGGGGAAACCCAGATGGGTGGGGTATAAATAATAAATTTATTAATTATTATTATTATTATTATTATTATTATTATTGCTGCTGCTACTGCTACTACTACTACTATTACTATGCACTATGGCGGGCTTCCTCAAACTCGGCCCTCCAGATGTTTTGAGACTACAATTCCCATCATCCCTGACCACTGGTCCTGCTAGCTAGGGATCATGGGAGTTGTAGGCCAAAAACATCTGGAGGGCTGAGTTTGAGGAAGCCTGTAGTATGAGAAGAAGTGTGCCCAGCTAGCTTGCTGCATTGAGGTTCGGTGGATGATGCTGTCCCATCACTTGTCAGAGACTGGACTGAAGGGGACAAGATTGAGGAGGAGGAATGGTGGAGATTCCCCCCCCCCTCCTGACTCTTCCATAGGAGAGGGAAGCAGTACTGATTTTACAGCAGGGGTTTGAGGAAGATCGCAGCTCAGTGGTAGAAGAACAAAGGAGTTGGGAAGTGTTAGGGACAAGGGGAGGGGAGGCCGAGCAGCCAGCTGACACGTTGTCAGTGGAGAGTATTTCTGACCCCCCCTTCTCCTAGAACTCGGCCTTCGCTAAGGGTGCAGGAACAAAGGACGCAGAGGCTCTTGGCCACAAGCGGCCACTGTAAATGGAAATGCTGTTGCTAGGAAGAAGGGAGGATGTGCTCAGTTGGAGCAACGCCATTGTCAGGGCTGGTTGCATCCTTTTGTCTCTCGCTAGCATGAATGAATAAGCTCATTAAAAGGGACTCTACCTTGTTTTCTCTGCATATTGCTGCCACAAGGGAGGAAGAGAATTCCGAATAGGACTGCCCCAATCAGTGTCTGTACATGGATGGGGTTGGGGGTGAGGAAACACTTTGTTGTCCTTCATACCAGGCAGCAAAGGGTCTTGAGGTGGCTCTACAAGAGACACAATAAGGGTATCAAGCTGGAAGTCAGCTGGCAGTGACTTCTTCCC